GTCGGCAGCGCTTGGCGTTGGGGTTTTGCTCGGAGCGCAGAGCTGTCGCTCGCGGCGTCTCTCCGGGAAGGGCCAGGGCTGGAAAGCCTCCAGGCTCAGAGGCCTTTTCGGCTTTGTGGCCGTAGCCGTGGGAGGCAGGAGTCTCTGTGCAACTCTCCCCTTGAGGAAAAATAAATTATAATAATGATAACTTTAAAAAGCCGGGCCGGGGGACAGCATAACGGTTTCCCCGAGCTGTTTGTTTTAATTGCCCGGTTTCTGTTCCCCCCCGGTGCCCGCTCGTTGCGTGGGTTTTGCTGATGACAGATAGACATTTACCTCTCTCCTTCCGCTGAGCAGCGTGCAAGTCTGGAGGTCTTGGGCGTACGCCGTTGTCTGCGTGCTGGGTTTCTCTGAACAGCTCCTGCTCCTGAGATTGTACATTTAGGGTGTTTTGTTTTGTTTTTTTTTTTCTTTGCCTAGATGAGCAGAAGTAGACACTTGCATGGGCACTTATGGCAATTTTGATGTAATGAGTAGTGTGATTGGTATAATTATTAACAAAACTAACGCGTGCCTGTGCTTGCGTGTTCATCTGGTGCCTTTAGAGTCGGGCGATTTCTGAATTCTGCTCTCGTCCCCTGTCCCGTCCCGTTTCTCCTTCCTCCTCCTGCGCTAAATGTGATACACCCATCAAGTGCGGTTTTCTTTCCGTTTCCTTTCAGATCCAGACTGGGCGTCCCATAGCCTGGGAATCTTCGTCTGTTTAAATTGTTCGGGGATCCATCGCAATATTCCACAAGTCAGCAAAGTGAAGTCAGTCCGTTTAGATGACTGGGATGATGCTCAAGTGGAGGTATGTACGTCTCAGACTTGAAGTACCAGCTAGCTTGGGTCACTGCATTTCACACTGCTGGTGCAAATGCCACCTACGCTCTGCCTTCCTTACCAGAAAAGCTGTAAAACAGTCCTTTCTAAAGATGTCACAACAAGCATGATTTCAGAAAACATGTCTAAATACATTTTGAATGTGGGAACAAGGTCCAGCTTTCTATACTTAATCTGATTGAAAAATGGAGTAACAATGTCATGAAGAAGTTGTGTAGGTTCCCCACCACCGCCATAAATATGTCAACGGCTCTTGAAGAGAGGCTGTAGAAATTATTAATTTCAAATGCATAGTCTCTGCTGTTGCTCACATCTTGCCTCTAGCTGTAGTCTACCACCCCTGCCCAGCCTGGCTATTTATGGCTTTGTTCTGCTTGGCGTTGAAAACTTTTAAAGTCTCATCTTGAAGAACTGAACTTCTGCAATATAAATTCTCTCAGTTTATGCAACACTCCTACCTGGATTTGGGTGATATTCCTAAATGCAAACCTAACCAGGAGATCTATAGGCTTTGGCTATTGTTGTCTTTACAAGCATGAAGAATGCTACCAGTCCTTGATTTTTGTCTTGTGTGTTGTAGCTTTGGGGGTTTTCTGTAAGCTGCAGCCCGTGGAGTCATGTGATTTATGAAGAAAATGGGCCTTTGTTTGCATGTTTTTTTTTCTCTTCCCTGATCGGTGAAAATAGATTGAATTTGTAAACTCAAGAAGCTCGAAAACAAGAAAATAACAAAAAAACCCCTGTTTAGAAATAACAAAAAAACTTAGCTGCTCATTTTGCCAGGATACCTGGTATATGATACAAAACAAAAGATAGTTAGCGTGGGCTGCCTGGAAAAGGATATTTTTCTTACAGCTATGAAGTACCTTTCATTAAATTTGAACAAAATTTATGAATAAGGAAATATGTGGCATGTTTGCACTGTTTTCAGCTAGCCGTTTATATGAGAGATCAGGAGGAAAGGAAGGCCGTCATGGCAGGTAGAGTTTTTACCCGGTTTAGTTATGTTTGAAGATGGCAAACAAGTCCAAAATAAGTGTTGCTGCTTTTGAAGTTGAAGTAAATGGGCTTAAAGCGCTTTGGCTGCAAAGCTCTACTGCCAGGTGTCTACTTTAGGAATTCAGTTGCAAGAGGGAGCTGGAACAGGCCTTTCAGAAAAGTGTTTAAGCCCAGATTTTCCAAGTGGGCATTGACCTCTGTCAATGGAAAACAGCTGGGCTAGGCTGTTTCCCCTCTAAGTTAGTCCACACAAATGTCCCCTTTCCTGAATGTGCAGTAGGACTAGTGATAACTCTCTGCTAAATGCAAATTGTTATTATGCTGCTAAGTGTTCAAGGTAGGATTAAAACCTGAGGTCTCTGGACGTGTAGGTCTAGACCCGGTCCTGGTCTCAAAGCTTTGCCTGAGAATTGCAAGTTCAGAAAATGCTTCATGCTGCTTTGTGCTATCAACAGTAAATAAAGTAGTTAATGGTAGACTTTTGTTTCTGTCCTTGTTCTCCTTTTTCAAAGGATTTCCTCTTTTAATATCTCTGTTGTAACTTGAAACACTGTAATAGCACCTTTTCATTGTTTAATTAAAGAAGTTAAATTTAAGAAGTAATCAAAGACTCTTCCAATTCCAAGGTGAAATAGGATAAGTGAGGTTTATCCTGCCATAAACAACTTTGGTAACTGCATTGTTGGGTTACTTTATAAAAGATGGAGAGCACTGTAGACCACTTCTTTAGCAGCTGATGGTAAAACTCAAGTGGGCGGTTGACATCCATGGGAACAGGAATGCATCATCACCAAGGAACGGCAGCATGAAGGAAGCCAGCACTTGCCAGCACTAGTCAGAGATTACTGGCTTGGCCCTCATGGCGTTGTGTAGGCCTTTAACCACTCGCCAGTGGGAGAGATCTGAGTGCTGGTTGGTAGTCAGATGTGGCTCTTAGCCCTTGGCTTCACCCAAACCCAGTGGGCTCAGTAAAATGGCACGAGAGATCTTGAAGCCATGGCCAGCTTGCAGGCTACTGTGTTCTGCCTGGTTCAGTCTGTGAGCCTCGTTCGTTAGCAGGTCTACGGAGAGTAACGGGGGGGTTGAATTTCCAGGGCTGTTAGGCCAGCCCTTAGGCTCCGCATGAGAAGCGAGCGTTTGCTGAAGACGATTCTGTAGAGCAACACATCATCATGCTCTGTTATCCCCTACAAGCTCCTTTCTGTGGTTGCTGGCTTGGTTTTGCCAAAAATAATTGAATCCGTTTGGAAAAATTGATGCAATCCTCACCAAAGCAAATAGCATAGGGCTTACTATCAGAGACTTTTACCTTGCTGGAGTCTTAACATATGGAGACTTAAAGTTGGTGTCAGGTTCTGCCCTCTGGTTTGCCTAATTTCTGTGCTGGATTCCCTGGGAGCCAGTGTGTTCCCCAGCCTGGAAGTGGGACATGCATGAGACCAAAGTGGGACCAGTTACTGCCTTCTGCTCCTGTGGAGACTGTGCACATGAGACTGGGGCTAGAACCCGTCCCCAGGGATATTAAGCAGATGAAGCTTCTGGTCTCAGGGGGTGAGATTAATTCTCATGGCTCTGATAACCCTGTGATCCCTGCCCGATGGATAGCACAGCTCCTGGGAGCGACAGCAGCTCGAATTACTGGCAGCCGATTCAAAATGATTTGATAGCATTTGCTCTATATGTTTTAAGCAAACTGCTCTGGGCCATTGAATACCAGCAGCTCTCTGTGCACTGTCTCCAAAATGAACCAGCCTGTGTCATGGATGCGATCTCTGTGAAGTGCTTTATAGCCTGGATGTCGATGGGTCTCTAAGGTTAATTTCTGAGCCCTGGCCTGCAGGCATAGCCCTTGCAGTGTTCCTCCTGTGCACAGTCCCAGGAAAGCCTTTCAGTGAGCGAAGAAGGGCCTCGTCCCAATTATTTTATTGCTCTGTAGAAGCAGAGGAGGATGAGGGAGAACACCATTAACGTTTCTTAATTCTTTCTGCTTTTCTCTTCTTGTTACAGTTTATGGCTTCGAATGGGAACAATGTAGCAAAAGCAAAATATGAATCTAAGATGCCACCGTTTTATTACAAGCCAACATTTCTCGACTGTCAGTAAGTAAATACCTTTGCTGCTAAACCACGTTTATTTGTTTGTGCAGCTGAAGCCTCTGCAATATTTCAGTTTTACCATGATACATATTTTTTTTTTTTTATCACAGTGGGGGTTCCATTACCAAAGGCCCTGAAAATCTTTGTTCTTTGGAATGCTTGTGGTAGAGTTTATACTACACCTGGGATCTTATTTAATAAGTACAATTGCATGATGCAGGGAAGTCAATAGTTTGTCTATTCCCTAGACCCTTCAAAGTTTCTAAGGCTATGAAAATGTCAATTTCTACCCATTGATTTCCTCTACCTCTTCAAATAGCCCTTCCACGTTAAAGTGTAACTTGCTTATCTGATGTATGAGGCGCTAGGTTACTTGTAATATGAAAATGTTGTTTTTATTAGTGCCAAAGTTGTGGATTTTCTTTTTTTCTAAGTGACAAAGCGCATCCTAAGCTAGGTGAAAAGACGTTTTTATCCCATGCAGTGTAGAGTAAACAACCCTAGAAAGCTCAAGCAGATTTTGTAGACCGAAACAGCTGAGCAGCCAGAACTTGTACCATTTAGAGAGCAAGGAGATAAACTGAAATTGTTTGTTCAGTGAGATTATGTCCTAGAGTCCAGTCTTGCAGAGTGCCACGGGTGTATCTTTGTAAAATCAGTACTTCACAGGATTGGGTCTCTGAAGGACATAATTTCCAGAGCCAAGGTTTTAGTATTAGCCAGTTAATGAGAGTAATAGCACCTGATGTCCATCCCAGTATCGTTTAAATGGGTGTTATTGGCTGAAAAGAGAGCTTCAGCAAGGTGGCAGTGGGTATGAAAAGGTCCAGTCCATTTGTGAGTCTCTGAGCAGCCTTTTGATATATTCAGACATCATAAGAGATGCCCAGAACGGAATACCGGAAGGAATTGTAGGATTCCTTGTACAAGAAGCCGTTAAGTAGGGAGGCTCTGCTTTAGTCACCGGATCTGAAACCGTAGTAAAGGTGGGCTAAAGGGCTCCGTTCATGAGTGTCTGCGCTCATCCTCAAGGTGATTTTTATCTGCAGTTTTAATCCTGTTATAATAGCTATTAAGAAGAGTTATTGTCTTCCTATGTTATGCAAAAAGTCTTTTACAGAGAAGCAAAGAGAGAGCTCCTGTTGTCCTGGTGAAGCATCTCTGTGATGCATCCGTTACCCACTATTTGATAATGCTAAAATGCTAAATTTGGGAAAGCCCAGGTGTGAACAGCACAGTCTGGCCTGATGATTAAAAAATCACTCATTCGCACAATGTTGGCAGATCTTGGTTTTGATCTAAAATGGCTTCTGGCAACAGCTTCCACAGTTCCTACAATTAGAGAAATGATTTGAGGGTTGGCAAAGCTACTGTATATACACTTTGAGTGCATTGTGATCATCTTGGTGGGATCATTTTTCTCAAGGAAAAAAGTCTCTTCCTCTTACCTTTCCTGTTGCTCAAACACCTGTGCTTTTATGGGAGGCAGCCCAAGAAAAGCTGAACAGCAAGATGTAGTCCCAGCCAGAGCGATCCCATGGAGTCCTTAAGTCTTGTAGTGTTTATCATAGGGAGAAGACAAATTCAGCTGTAACATGACAAGTCCCCCCCCCCCTTTTTTAAAAGTAGCTTTGGTGAAATGACTATTTTTTTTTTTCTAACCCTGTCTCTCTCAAGGGGGATAGAGGGAAGGACCCATATTTGTTTGGTCATGTCAGGAGCTTGGCACCTTTCAGGTGCGGCTCCCACCTTGAACTAACCTTAAAGCGTCACCCCGGGTGCTGGTTTGTGGAATCTGTGCCAGGACCTGGGACTCAGGTGGGGAAGACAGTTCACATCTAGAATCAATAGGATTTCCTAGGAATTCAGAAGTGCTTGTGTGGGTAAGGACCAGAAAGATCAGGACTCTTGTTTAGTAAAGACTCTTCACAGAAAAATGATGTCTCAAACCTGGTGGCTGGAGGAGCTGAAGGGGATTTGTGACAGTCAGGGACAGACTCTGGCGTCTCTTTCTTGTCTGTGCTCAGTTGACAGGATGCTTTTCATCTGCTTAACACTGGCCTCCCCACCCAGCTGCAGAGGTGCTATGCTGTCATGACCAGGCTTCCTGCAGCTAGTGCGACTGTCCCTTTTTCAAGGATGTGTCTTGTCTGAATAATTCTATTTCTTTTTTGGTCCTAGAGTGTTAGCTTCAGGAGGATACCATAGCATGTAACCAAGAAGCAAACCTGTCCCCAGGTTAGGGATCAGGTATTGGCCAGCATTGCATAGGCGCTTAAGGTGTTGTCTTTTATCTTCAGCAATTCTCTCGATCTTGCTCAGGCACGACTGAAACAAGGACGCTTTCCTACAGGCGTTGACACAAACTTGATCCATTCCTCTCCGCTCTCAAAAGATCCTACTTCTTTCTCCCCTGACTGCCAGAACTGGCAGCCCAAGGACAGCAGTATCCCCTTACTGCAGGGTTCGGTGGCTGCAGGTTTCTTCTGCGTTGTGATGCATGTCTCTGCATCCCTGCAGGGTCTCTGATGCCCCTTGCAGAGGGCTCTAGTGCCCTTTTTCATCCTTGTGTATCAACTGCGTCTTGCATCTTGCTGTGTAAGTAGATTCCACTTCCTAACATGGTGCATCTACTAAAAGAAATTGCTGCTAGTTTCTCCCCTGCTTCTCCCTGGCTTTGAGTTGAAACCAAAAATCTACAGGTTTTTGGAAGCCTTTTGCTGGAGTGTTATTCGTGCGTATTTCCTTTTGCCTTCTCCTTAGTTTCTTTGATACAAAGAAGAAAAAGTGGACTGCAAGGTAGTCACATTACTCAGATTACAGAAGGAGTTGATAGCTGTGCAAGTACAAGGTGAATTCTGTCCTGTGATAAACGGGCAGCTCTCCTGAACTGTTTGGTCCTGAGAGGAACCCGTACTGTGTTTCTTTTGCTGAGATCCAAAATTCCAGCAGTCAGCTGCACTATTTGAAGACTTGTGGATGGAAAGGCAAGACTTTCACCTAGTATAGCTGTGTTGTTGCTGTTGTCTTTGTTAGGAGAAACAAAGTTCTAGGTGAGATTTTGTCCCTGAGGATCTCAAAACAATTTGCAAGCTCTGTATTTGAGCAGAGATGCATCCTTTTTGCTTCACTGGAAGTGGTGGATGGTCAGCAGCGTGGGAGGTCAGTACAGCTCTGAGGCAACCTTGATATTCCCACATCAGAGGGCAGCTACTAAGCCGTAAAGAGTCAGAAATGGAGGGGGCTTATACAAAGCCGATCTAGCTGGCTGTAATTCCATGCACTACATTCAGTGGCATCATTTTAATATCCTTCCTCTGAATTAAAGTACAGTGAAATGGCTGTAGTTCAGTGCAATGGGAGTGAAATTCATATGCGAGCCCTACTGACGGCTTTTTGTTTATTTTGTTTTATCTTAAGTCTCAGCTAAACTGAATTAAACATTATACTCCAGCTCGAGCTGCTATTTTTGTTATTATAGGGTAGGGCCCTGTTGGGATCGAAGTTGTTTGTTTAAATCTTTGAGAGGAACAGAATCCTAGTACTTTTTGATGCTTCACCTGACGGGGTGCAGAGCTCAGGTGGGGGTGTCTGGTTAGAAGGTCCCTCTGCAGCCGGGGGTATTTGGGGATGTGGGTACAAATCACACCCTACTCTCCTTGCACGGGTCAGGCTGAAAGGCAGCCAAAGCTTGCCCTGCTGCTCAGGCAGCTTAATGACCTCAGGCACTTCCATTCCTTCTGCTTTGGGGCTGGCAGAAACGTCTGTGACTCTTTCCGAGCTCTGCTAGTTTGACTTCCTTTGATAATGCAGCTTGGGCTTTGCTGCTGCTGTGTTTTTCTTTTTTCGTCCTGTGGTGCAGTTGTGCTCTGGGGAGCTTTGCAGAGCGGTAGCCGGCTTCCAACCACAGCCCTGTCGGGGCCATCTCTCAGCACAGGCAGGCGGTGCTGGGCTTTTGGCCGGCTGGGCTGGAGGGGGTGCAGTTGCCACCTTTCTCTGCAGCCGTTTCCCGATGCCTGACAGAGATATGTGTGGCAGCTCTTAACCCATCAGAAACAGGGGGTGTTGAAGGCGTTGGTTGGTTTTTTTGTTCAGTTAGGGGGATGAGGCAAGGCTAATCCTCCTGCAAGCTGCTGCTCGTGGGCCGATTTCTGGCTGTTTTGTACCCCCGACTTGCGGATGTTTTGCCTTGGGCCATGTTTCAGCTCGGATGCCCCAATTTCTGAGCTGCCGAGGGAGCCTGGAGCTCTGTTTATATAGATGTTCTCCCAGCCAGCGCTGCTGGCTCTCCGCAATAGCAGCAGGACGGGTTGGTACAGATGTGCTCTCTTGCAGTAACCCATCGTGTTGTGACACTGTACTGTGGTAGAAGAAGCTGCAGGTACATCAAGTGTTGGGAATGTTTCAAGGGTGATGTGCCAGGTTGTATTTTTCTTTCTCTAGTTAGAGGCTTTCTGTGCCAATAGATGGATACGTGCTAAGCGAGAGTAGGGAATTGCTGCTTTTTAAAAGGGTATGGGATATATTTAGCTTTCTTCCTGCATCATGCTGAGTCCCGTCACTGTAGCAGCATTACTAGTTCCCAGGTCACAGCCCTGTATGGCACTGCCGTGAGGCAGTCAGGAGAGTGCCTCCTGCCACTGCTGGCACCGTGCTGTTTTTGGCCGACCTGCATTCTGCAGCATCTAGGGGTTTTGATACTTGTAATTATGGCAACCCGTGTTGGAAGGGCTGGGCACGCTTTCTGAGAACTGCCGTCGAACGCGGCCCTGCAGGATGCCGACATACAAAGCACAGCAAAGAAGGGCTGTTTGTTCGTTTTAAGCACCTTCGTTGTATAATGCTTCCTCTGGAATCCATTTGCCTTGGTTTCTTGCAGAATTGCCAAGTTCGCACAAGATGGAAGAAATGCTCCAGAGCCAGCTTGTCCTTTTGTCTTCTCGCCTACAGTGTTATGTTGGATTCCCTAGAAAATACTTGGTGTTTGCCTGCTGCATCTGGCT